ATAATTAATATAATGTTATAAACATTAGTAGTAGCAAAATAAGATAACTTAAAATATTTTTGTAAATTAAAGAAAAGGGTAAATGTGCGAGACAGTCAGTACTCACAATTGGCTCATTGGTGATTTAGTACATAGCCATCTATGTGTAAAAACAGTCAAACAAGTTAACTCGCAGTGGGTATGGCATGTACATACATGCCATGCCCATCGGGAAAGGTAAAGGCTTTGCTTTGGCTAGAATGATTTTATGATACTGATGTGCAAATGTTGCACATAGTTGGAACGGAATGGCTTTTGTGTGATTTGTTCACAGTATAATCCCTGAACATGTACATAATTCTAAAGTTGAGTTTTCCTCAACAATGAATACATATTTTTTTCCCACCACATTAGAGTAAAATATATCCTACATAAATATCAAGAAATCTCACCCTCAGAAAAAATAGAAATAAGAGCAAGGGCTTGTGAAAATCAGATATTCACGGTTACCATTTGGGGGAAAAGTTTCTATTTGTTTTACTGTAATTTGTGTTTGCCATACAGTGGAGTAATTAGTTCCTATTTGCTTAGATATATCTTGAAAATTGATCTCTGAATAATAGGCAAAGGAAGTGTAGTGGCAGCTCTTTACTTCAGATGTTTTAAGCAGGTGTAAACAAGGGGAATATTCTACATACAGTACTTCCATACTCACAAATGAAGTATTGTCAAAGAATCTGTTTGTATCCGTGTGGCTCTCATGAAGTTCTAATGAGTGACATTTCGCATATGATGGAAAGTGATAGTGTGAATTTCTTCATGAGCTTAAAGTATAAGACCTATAACCTATTATGACCCAAATGTTTTTTTGTCATTGCCTCTACGCCAGTCGTAATTCAGATGTTGTCAACGTGACTAGTGAATAAAGGAATTTAAAATTAGTAAGTCGAGAAAACATCAATTACCTGTACATAGGCTGATACTAGTCTAGGCTAGGTTAAACTATCTTGTAAATTGCCTTGAGAGGGCCATCATTTTACTTGCTCTGTTAATAAGAAGGATTTTCTCTTTTAAGGTCGAAGGTGGCGTCAACCCATGGTGACCATAATATCTATGTAAGTGAGGTGAAAACTGGACGGTGCATCTGCACCCTGGAAGGTCATCCCAGAACCCCCTGGTGTGTGGCTTTCCATCCTGCCTCTAATGAAATAATCGCCTCTGGATGCTTAGGTGGGGAAGTAAGAGTCTGGGATCTAAAGGTAAGGACCACAACAAGTTCAGTATTGATGAAAAAAGTGAATTTGATATAGCTGCTTAGTTTATTATTGTGGTAAGGGAGAATAAGTGTTATGAAATAGAATTAAGCTCTGTATACCTTACCTGTTTCTCCTGCATGCTGTTTTTTTGCAGGAGAAACAAGAAGTTTAGATGAAAAATAACTTAACTGTTATAGTGGATTCAGCATGTTGATATATTAACAAAGTATGTATGCTTTTGTGTCTGCCATAGGGAGGTAGTGAAGTTTGGACCACAGAGAAAAACACAGTCATCGCATCACTAGCCTTCCACCCAACAGATCAAGTACTTGTCATCGCAACCTTTAATGAAATTTATTTTTGGGATTGGTTTCAACCTCACCCTTTTGCTAAAATATCTACTGCAGATGAAAAAGAGAAAGTTAGGTAAGATGGGAGTGATATTTGAGGTTTTATTTATTTTTTGTTTTGATATCTATATATTTGATAAAGTGATGATACTAATAGATTTAATAGACCTTATGAAATATACTGTATCCCACTCTCTTGCACAGGTACGTTAAGTTTGATCCACTTGGTCACAAACTCATCACTGGCATTGCAAACACATCCCACGATCGACAGAGCCATGGGGCCAGTAGAACCAGTGGATGCACAAATGGATCATTCCCTTCACATTCAGAATTAGTGGAAAGGGAGCAGCAGCTTTCACATCGTTACAACCAATTATCAAGCCAGTATCTTAACCTAATGTCACGATATGAAGCTCTTACCAGCAGAAATTTCAATAATGTTTCGAGAACATCCAGTAGGGTAAGTGGGAAACTGACCAAAGAATTTTGTGGATATGTCATTTGTAATGTACAGCAACACAATGTTTAGCATTCTGTAGCAGTAGCAGAACTGATTAATGTGGAAATGTTGCAGTGCTGTTTTCTTAGCTTGGAAGTTCTTAAAGTTTTTTCTTTTCTTCAGATTGATAGAGGTACAGACCCCATAGATCCTCCTCCAACTCAAGGGCAACAAGCTCTGCTGAATCAGGCTAGACAGTTTGCAAGACAAGTGACTGAGGAGAGGAGAGCAACTTTACAGAGTCAGGTATAATGCAAAATCAGTGTTTTTCTAATCTGAACTATTGGCATATTTTTTTTATTTCTTGTAATTTTGCTGAAGTAAAGGAATGTCATCTGCTTATAAGAATAATTGTCTTGGTACAAAACAGCTTGAGAATGATCTTGCTTTATTTTTTCTTTCGTATTATGTGGTATTCAGAGACCTTTCTTTTTCGTTGTCTGGCCATAGGAATCAACAGGTGAAATGTCAAGGAACAGAACCACATGGGGGTCCCAAGACTCACATTCTGGACGGGATTCACAAGCCACTAGTGACCTGCATGTGAGACTGGAGGAGGACTATGGTCTTAGTGCAGTGCGGACTCTGAGACAGATCATTAGTGATGATAGTGCATCATCTTCAAGTTTAGATTCCAGCTCATCTGCAACGAGTGGTACAAGTGGAATCTCTGAGAGAAATACTCGTCTTTCACTTCTGTGGACCTCAAGGCTTCACCGACCAGGGCAGGATTCTGACAGTGCTGGAGAGGCTTCTAGTGTACAGAGTTTATGGGATAACGCTGTCAGCGGGATGGGGGATCTCCGAGCACCAATGGGTGGGGAGGAAGGGGTTACAGGTAGTAGGAGAGGAGACAATTTTGTTCTTGATCGTAGGAATTACAGACGAACTGATGATAGAGGCAGTGATGAGGACGATGTAACATTAGGTCCTGCTGGGCTAAATCTTCGATCTACAGGGTCGCAGTCGGAGCGTCAAGGTACCCTTTGGGGTTACTTCACTAGTAATGGTTCTGTGATCCAACCAGGACGCTCAAGAGTGCCTAGGGAAAGCAGAAGTGAAACTGAAATTGAAAACAGTGGTAATAATACTGCTGAAAATGTTATTGGTAATGATGAACCAGAAAACTCACAAGAGAGTTCAGTGCAACAAAGAGTTGAAAACAATGGTGCAGCTTCTAGTGATGCACATATACTCTCTCAAAGCACAGGAACAGCTCCTCCAACAAGGGGAACAGATCCTGTGAGACTCAGTAACACTGGTGAAATTCCTCCAAGTGATGCTAATGAGGATCTTGCAGTGCCTGGGCCATCAGGGTTGTCTGGAATGCCACGCTCTCAGATGTCTTCACTTTCTTCTGCGACGAGGTATCCGAGGTCTTCGTCATTAGATCCACAATTTGGAGTACAACTTCTTAGTCGTCACATTGAGAATATGCAAAGAATATGCAGGCAAGTATTTTTTAAAGTTTTCTTTGTTTTCTCTGGTAAGATAGAAGATAACATAACCATTTCATAACCAGCCCCACGGAATACAACAAACCCATATTCTTAGGTGGTATCTATAGTAGAGACTGCCTGCTGCAGGAGACCCACACAAGCTATGCACTGTGGATGGTGCAGTCTGAGCATAAGATTACATTGAAGATTATGTGTTAGAGACATATGAAGTTGAGCTTTCTCATTAACCCTTTCCCAACGGGTCATGCACTGAGGCATCATAACAAACCATTCAATCTGTGGAGTGCGGCTATACACCGCGGCAACGTACCAAAGCGCTGAAAGTGAGCGCGTTGCCATTTATCTGCAGAATTATATATATATATATATATATATATATTTTTTTCTTCTTCTTCTTCTTCTTCTTCTTCTTCTTCTTCACTCGTCAGCCTCTCCAATGATGCCTAATTCACTACTCTCAGTAACACTCTTGTCAAGTCAAAAAAGCTTGTTTATTCTAAATCAGTGTAGCATGTCACTGGGCTGATGCCAGGCCTCAAAGCACTCGTAAGTGCAGAGACCCACATTACAGTAACAGCAGTAGTTCAAAGTGTTCTTTTGGATCCTCTGCCTGGAACACCAGCGGCACCTCCCCTTCCCGTCAGGGATCTGGTGCTCAGTGTACTGCAGCTGCAATGACTGCTTCACTGACAATTGCAGTAATGTGGCTATCCTCCACCTGGTCAGGTCAGTGCCAGTTCTTAACCCATTTTATATGGTGTCATGAAGTACCTATGGAATATACTGTGATGCCAACATTGGCATCATAATTCCATTTTATTTTAGTTGCTACCGAGTGATCCCGTACTCTGTTCTGGCTCTAGAGATTCTGTAGCTCCACCCACCATTCCTATTCCCATCACTAACATAAATCAGGTAGACTATGCCCCAATCTCTACCCAGTGTGAGGAGCTATTGGTAGAGCATATGTTACAGTTTCCCCCTCTGGTCCTTTCCTTGTCCTCCACATCTCCCTACAGTTTCCTTCACCCCAGACCCTTCCAGCAGGGATGGGAAATTTTAGGGGTACACTTCCCTCTTCTCCCCCTCCTTTATTTCCCAAAGATTTTACTCCTAATAACTTCGAACAGTTGCATATCTCATGATATGAAATCTCTCTCTCTCTCTTTCTCTCTCTCTCTCTCTCTCTCTCTCTCTCTCTCTCTCTCTCTCTCTCTCTCTCTCTCTCTCTCTCTCTCTCTCTCTCTCTCTCTCTCTCTCTCCCTCTCTCCCTCCCTCCCCTCCCTCCCTCCTTCCCTTGAGAATGAATAGCCAGCTAGGTCTTTTTACATCTTGCATATTGAATAAAAAAAAAAAGAAAAAAAAAAGAAGCTCATAAGGTGCCATTGATTTAGCCATTATTGAAAAATTGCACTGTGTTGAGTTTCACTTACATATTAATGTGAGTGGCCAAAGGAGCCCAAAGAATAATGCATGGTGCTTACTAGTAGGTGAAATATCATTACTAGAGCCTTTGCTAGCTACCATCATAACAAATCAATTTACTCTTACGAGGCAAGTTACTATCTAATCAGGAATCCTACTTTACCGTCATTGACTGTTGGTAAATGCTTCATAATCACATACAAGTGAATCTGGACCCTAGAGAAAAGAGAGGTATGCCCAGCCACTGAGCTGGTGCGGCCAGACAGCTTATAGACCCTCAATCCAAACCTTGCTCTCATGCTTGGGTTGAAGGGCTTTAAAGCCATTCACCTTTGGCACTTCCACAAAGACTTGTCAGAGGAACAAGTCATTAAGGGTGTCCAAGACTGGTCAGAGCTTCCACATGCTGTCTAGATGTTAGCATCCACTTCCTCGTGTTAAGGGAGATGGCAAGAGGGAAGAAAGTATTAATACTTTATTTAATGTATTCTGACTGCTCAGTACTAGAGATATATCCTCAATATGAATACAAATGGAGAGTTATGAAACTTACCAGTTAATCTCTCACAATAAGGTTATGATGTTACTTGAGGTTATGTTTCCAATAGGAAATTGTTAGGGAATAGCCAAATAGACAGTGCATTATGTCTCGCATATGAGACATTTGGCAGAACTCAAGAACATTGGTAACTTTTCTCATCACTGAAGGGTTAAAATGAAAATGCCTTATGTATATAAATTTGTTTTCTCCTGCTTCTCCTTTCTTTGTTATAGTCATACTTTTCCAATGTGTATCTACTATAATTGTGAATATAGGAGATGAAGTTCGAACTAATGTTCAGATTTATTCAATGTTGAAGAGCCAATTTGAATATGAACCAATGTGAATTGGTACAGATTATGCAAAAAACTGCCTTTTTTTCTTTTGTGCCCCCCTCCCCCCCTTAGTGCACAAGTGCCATAGAAAAATATAGATATACAACAGAGGGTTACTGTAAGATTAATCAATAGTTTAAAAATCTCTTGAATTATTTTGATATTGTGCTCTCTTTTTGTGTTCATTACAGCCATGTAATATGTATTTCATGTTAATTGTATTATTTTTCCAATTAAGCAACTGTTCCATTTATGTTTGGAAATGATTTATGAAATGAGTGGTATATTCTATTGAAAAACTATTTTGAACTATGGCATCGTGTGTGGGTGCAGAATCCCTGCCTAAGACATTTCAGCTCCACTTATGAGGATAACTACACGCAGAGCCAACAAGTGAATAAGTGTTCAGGGCACACTACTTGAAACAGGCACACATGTCACGTATCTTTGCTGATTGACATGTAGGCTTGGTTTGTTATGGCAAGAGTGAATGTATACAGTCAATATTGGGCTACAGCAGCTGTGATAGAGATTTTTGTTCATATAAAGTTTAGTTCTGTATCAACAAATTACTTATATGTATTTTTGTTAAGGTTTATTGATCAATCTGTATACGAAACAATGCTATATCAGTAATAAGGAATCAATGAGTTTAATGTTTTTTTATTGCAGAGCACATTTAGAAATAACGAGGCATAGACACGAGATACTTCGCCTTCAGCAGATTCGGTCTATGTTATATGATATCCAGCACCAGATACATTCTCTGAGGGTTTCTGTTGACCAGTCTATGGAAGATTTAAATGGACCATCAGCAGACAGTCCTCCCACAACCAGCCAGAGGTAAGTTTCAGGATTGCTGAGTTGGTTAACCCATTAGCAACTGCTAAAAAAAAAATCCCAGATATCAAGGATGCCCAATCATGTCATCAGTCTGTCTTTATTGGACTTTATTGGAGGAGATTCAATAGCATTGCAGCATATCTCAGACATGCTATATGTTTCCTCATATATATATATATATATATATATATATATATATATATATATATATATATATATATATATATATATATATATGTATATATATATATATATATATACATATATATATATATATATATATATATATATATATACATATATATATATATATATATATATATATATACATATATATATATATATATATATATATATATATATATATATATATATATATATATATATATATATATATACATATATATATATACATATATATATATATATATATATATATATATATATATATATATATATATATATATATATATATACATATATATATATACATATATATATACATATATATATATATAAATAATATGTATGTATTTTTTAATGATTTCTCAGGGTTGGTATTCCTAATGAAGATGACCCGAGTGCTCAGCCACCTAGCCTTGGTTCTAGTGATAATGCATCCTCGCTGCCCCTGATTCGTCACTGGTCCAGAACAAGCCCAAGGACTGTAGCCCGGCTGCAGCGGGGACCTTTTGGAACTAGAACACGCTCCAGACATTCCCACAGGTGACTATTTGATCTTGTAACATTTTGATGAAGAGTCTTTCTCTTTCTCTTCCTCTTTATTTTTCAGTCTCCTCCCCTCCTTCTCCCTCTCTCTCTCTCCTTTCTACTTTCCTTCCTTTCCTGCCCCCTTCCCCCTCTGTCCTTGCACTCTCTCTTTCTGTGTATGTGTGTGAGATGCAATTTGAAGTATTGAAGTATTCTGAAACTTTTATTTTTTTTATATATGCCAGACCCTGGGTGATGTCTCCATGCATGCTTCGTCGCATTCCTCGTCGCCGTGCTGTCCGCACTCGTCTTACGCTACCTGGGCTATCTGCATCCCATCATGGAGCTAGTGGAGCACTGGGAGGAGGGCTGGACAGGACAACCTCTCCAACAAGAGGATTAATAGAACCTGGAGCTTCAGCATCAGGCACTGGAGCAGTGATTGGCCCTCTGCCAACACCACCACCCGATCAAGGAGATTCTGAGGAACAACCAAGGGATATTGTGCGCATTATATCTGGCAACCAGTATGGTGCACACACTCGCACAGTAAGTGTAAAGGGGTACACCTTCTTAATTATAATGATAATATGTATGTATATATGTACATTTCTTTTGAATATAGTTATTTATATCTATCTGTATCATTTCAGTTTTGTAGGATTTTTAGGTTTTGTTCAAGAAATAGATCCTTTTTATCTTTATCTTTTACAAAAAAATAAAAAAAACAAGCTGATTTTAAACAGAAAACCCACAACACTAACCCTGATAAGTTTACATAGGCATTAAACAATGGTAATGCAGGATGCATATAATACGATATGGATGTTTCATATATTGGTAAAACTAACTATTCAGCCTTGTGTAATTGATTTTAGCATCCCCAGATATTACATCATTCGTTTGAGCGACTTCAGGAACGATTACGAGAAAGACAAGAAGCGTTAGAACAGCAGGAGAGACGTCTACAAGGCTTCCTTAATGCATCATCACCTGCTTCATCTACAACATCATCTGTGACTTCATCTGCATCCCAGGATCATGAAGAAGACCCACCAAGTCCACCAGGTTAGAAAGAGTTTTTAATCTGTATCTTGTGTGCTTATTTGTGTGTTTAAGTATTTGCAGGTAACACTGCTGTTTCTTTTTCTGTTTCCTTTTTTCTTTATTTATTAATCAGTTACAATTGTAATAATTTTGCAGAGCAATATCGTCGAGCTGGACCCCCAACTACATCTTTAGCATCAAGAATTGCGAATATGATCGCTCATCAAGTTGCAAATGGTGCCAGTACAAGTGCTGCTAGTTCAGGTCAGTTAAGGAATTGAACATTATTGAATGGAAAAATTGAAAACACATTTGATATGCAAGGTAAAACACACACATATTACAGTTAATTATTTGAATTGATTCTCAGTGATTTCCTTGCAATGCTTTGTATTTATTAGTATCTATATTTTCTATTTGTCTGCCAGTTTTAGGACTTTTTTACATATTTTAAGTTCTACAAGGTTTCTCAGTGCTCTTTGCATAAAGTGGGTAGTTGGTATTATATGTGATCATAATGTAGATACTAAATAATAGATTATAATATTTGCAGATCATGAAGGCACAAATAACCAAACTGAAACATCTGATACCTCTACAACCATGACTGATAGATCAGCAACTCGTGCATTAAATAGGAATACGTCAGGATCATCAGCTAGGGCCCCTGCAAATTCATCGCGTAGACCCACACATCGGTCATCAGACAGGCCACTAAGTGTGCCAGATAGACCCACTGCAGAGCCATCCTCAAGTTCATATGACAGATGGAATGAAAGGAGGCTAAGTGGGAGAAGTGATGGGCCATATGATAGACTGTCAGACAGGTGGTCAGATTTGGACAATAATGGGCTACCAGTGAGAAGCTGTGTTAGGCAGCATGGTAGAAATAGTGAGAGATTGTCAGAAAGAACAATGGAATCAGCAAGTCCATGGGGTGGGCTTTCCCCTTCTCGAATGTCTGTTCCTCCTGGACCTCCACCAACTGTACCCCCGCCTTTGCCACAGTTGGATGAAACTGAGGCCCAAAGCAATGATTTGAATAGTAAGTATATAAGGAATTTAATCATGAAGGTAACTGAGTTTGATTTTATCTTTTACCAGCACATGTGTAAGTTGTTGACTCACAAAGACTCATTTCTGTCTAGATAACTCTAGTCCATGGCACAATGCAAGACGTCGATTACGACAAGATATAATGAATGCAAGGAGAGATTCGGTTGGTCGTCTCCCTGGGAACTCTGGAGGTCCCGTACGTTTACCCATGGCAGCTCTTAGGTCACGTCACATTACTACTGAACGAATTTTGTTAAGGGAAGGACTCCGAAGGGAGAGAAGAGATCGTTACAGGTTTGTTGAGGATAATAAATCAGTTTTAATTTTTGATCCTGGAGAGCATGTATCTATGGGCCCAGTCCACTGTGATATTATTAGTTTATTAGTTTTGTTTACACATAGATAGGGCCACAAGCACTTAGTTGCCATAGCTACTTAGTAGGCTGACCTGATCTTACCTGTTTACCCATTTCCTTGATTTCTGATAGTTTTAGTAATGTTTTAATATTAATGGTAAGAATAATAACAGTAATTATAACGATAGTATCAGTAATGAAAATAATAATGTTAAAAAAATCAAGGAACGGGGATAATCAGGTATGGTCAGGTAGGCCTGCTAATTGACTTCTTGGTGTGAACAATATTACAGCTATGCACCTAAGTGCCATTGGATTGACAATTGTTTGCCATTTTTGTAAACTTTATTTTTCCTATTTTGTTTTAACTATGTAAACTAAAATAAATATTCCTCAGGCAAATTCTGCAGAGAATGGCTGACCGCTTGAACAGTCTTGTAAACCAAGAACAAGAGCAGCAGCAGCAGAGGCAGCAGGAAAGGCATCAGTCCTCAGACTCTGCTGAGGGAGAGCAAGATAGTTCTAGCAGTTCAATGGATAACCACATGCAGAGTAAATATCAATTTCCCATTTTCAGTGTTTCAGTTTCGATTGATGCTGTTCATCCATTTCTGTTTTATTTAGATCGATATAGAATGTCATGTCTAAGAGGTTCTTTTTTAGCATTATGTATTAACCCATTCACCCCTTGTGGCAAGAATACATGCCATGCCCACTGTAATACACGTTTATATATTGTATTTACACATAGCTGGCTCTACAAGTTGTTAATCATCAAATAGCCAGTTTATCAGAACTACCTATCTCACCTGTTTACCCTTCTCCTTCACTTTCGGAAAGGGTCTTTTGTAGCACTTCATTGTCTAAAATATTTTAATGACAATTTAATAATGGTATTAATAAAAAAAAGACATTTTCCTGCCAATTCAAGGAATGGAAAAATTAGTATTGGTAACTAGGGCCTACTGATAGACTCCTTGCCGGTTGAGCACATGTGGAGCCATCTGTATGTAACAAAATTTACCCAAAACTACAGGGGACAGAACATAAATCCTGGGCGAATGGGTTAAGAAATACAAATAGTACTTAGAGTACATCATCCAGTGTGTTCTATATGGTCTTGGTGATTGTTAAGTATATTGCCGTTAATATATAAAATGACATTTTAATTGTGAAAAGAGAATCATCTCTATTACTGAAAATGTGAAATATTATTAACATCATACTTTCTTTCAGATTTACGGTTATTAGTTCGATTGGCACTTAACCTTATTTACCAACTTCTGAACTTCATCTGCAACCAAAACATGTAAGTTGATATTTATTGATTGTTATCAGGTTTTAATGTTATTAATGTATTCCAGTTTGATAAAATATACTGGCCAATAATGCCCCAGTATTGCACTATTGGGGACCCTAAGCCATGTTTACTTTTGAGGTATGCAGTGAAATTCATTGTAGATTATTATTATTTATTTGTTTATTTATTTATTTGATTTGATTTATTTTTTTCTTTTTAACAATGAAAAATAGAACACAGTATGGTAATTCCCCAAAAATAGATCTCTCTCTCTCTCTCTCTCTCTCTCTCTCTCTCTCTCTCTCTCTCTCTCTCTCTCTCTCTCACGCACACTTGTACACATACACATACACATGTATACATTATACATTATACACATCAGGTTGACCACACAGCACTTTTTCCAACTTTCATTGTCGTATTATATTATTAACCCTACTGTGACGGTGCCAGAAATTTGTGTCACTCATTCGAGTGACTCCTGGCAACACGGTCACATCACCCACCACTGGGTCAAATTTTTCATGGCATGATGATCATGTCATCAGAATCCAAGGTTTTAAAACTGAACTTCTTAAAGCTGGGCACGCCTTTATCCGTCACAAAAAAACATAGTAACTTAACCCATTGGATCCAGTTGCCTCACTTAGACATCAGACTTAACCCATTGGATGTAGATGCTTCACTGCCCACACATGGCCCAAAATGTGGGCATTAGGCATACTTGAGTAGCCATTCTGAGAGTGTTCGGCTTTGTAGACGTGTGCATTCACATGCAGTGACAGGGCTCAATGTCCCCCCATTGCTTTGTTATTTTCTTTTTTTCAGCAAGAGTTTTTTCATTTTCCAAAGTCTATATTTGTCATATGATTTGCTTTATCCAGATGGTAATAGACTGTTTTCCCTGTGCAGACTTCTCTCTGTAGGTAGTCCATAACTCAGTGCAATAATAATAACAATAAGTAACACTGTTATATGTGTCATCTAATTCTTTTCATAATATTCAATTTTCTGTAATACAACCTTCACCAACAGAAATAAGATCCTGAGCTAGAGCTCTTATAGTCAGGTCTCACAGATGGTACATTCCATACTTGTTTACCGATAGGGATAATGCAAGAGTCCCTTCCTAAATGCCCACTGAATCTAATCACCCTTCAAGAGCTTTGTGCACTTGTGTCATTCCTGTCACCCTGGCCTTCAGCTTAAATTCTCATGAGGGCAAGTTCCCATCACTACAGCCATCAGCCAAATTTTCCCATGACAGTCTGTTCATATCACCCGCCCCTCAAGCCCTGAGGTGATGGTCACGTCATCCGGATTGTAGGGGTTAATTGAG